TCTTCTTAGCTATTTCAAATTGTCGGATGTTACAGTAGGATACAAAATTGCCATGCAACGTGCCATGTAGGATGAATATGCAATTTTATACAAGTTTAAGTGCCTACTTGTGCACACTCAAAGTTAAAGGTCATAGTTGCAAGCTAACGACAAGTTAAGAGTCATATTTATGTATTATGCCAAAGATATATATTGCCAAGTCAATTTCTCTCCGTAAGACATGTCCTACGTATATTATGTCATGTAGGACATGTGTGTCTATTTATTCAAATTTTATACAAGTTTAAGTGTCTACTTGTGCATACTCAAAGTTTGAGGCCATAGTTGTCAACTGACACACATGTCCTACATGGCATAATATACGTAGGATACAAAATTGCCATGCAACGTGCCATGTAGGATGAATGTGCAATTTTATACAAGTTTAAGTGCCTACTTGTGCACACTCAAAGTTAAAGGTCATAGTTGCAAGTTGACGACAAGTTAAGAGTCATGTTTATGTATTATGCCAAAGATATATATTGCCAAGTCAATTTCTCTCCGTAAATATGATTAACATAGCCAATAAAACTTAGCATCCATCGAAGTTTTTATTACATTTCTATGTGTTCTCCGCAATAATAGCTAAAATTAGAGGAAGAGAGCAAAGTTGAAAAGGTCTTACAATCTTCTCTTTATTATTATCTCTGTTTTTCTTCTCTCCATTTTCGTCCATTTTTCCCTTACCACCCCCACGCCGTTGTGTCATTTCACACAACGGCATTAGCTGGTGGTCATTGATCACCGGTCTCTTCTGCTTTCATCATTCCCGTGAATGTGATCCGAAATACGCAAACAAAATCATTTTTAAAAAAGCCCAGATATATTCCTCCATAATTAAAGGAATGCAAATTCCATGGAGGAATATCTCTTGGGTCTTATTAGTTTTGTTTGCGTACAATTGTCAAACATGTAACGGGCAGGATTACGGCGGAGAGGAAAAACCGGCAGCACCGCCACCGGAGCAAGAGACTTGCGATGGAATCTTCATTACCTATAATTTCGATGGACGAGAAAAGATATATCCATTAGTGAAGAATGTATCTGCACAGGGATGGTCATTTAAGTCCATGTTAACGGTGTTGAATGCAGGAACTTTTGAGCTGAAATCATGGCAAGTTTTCGTCGGATTTCAGCATAAAGAGCTTTTAGTATCGGCGGACGGTGCGGTTGCAATTGACGGCGATGGATTTCCGGTACGAGTGGGTAAAAATGGTACAACATTGGCTGGGTATCCACAATCCGATTTGAAAACGGCGATTGATACCGCCGGTGATTTTACTCAGATGTCAGCTCAAATCAATATTAAGGGGACGCAATTTGGTCTTAAAGAGAAAACAAATCCAATGCCTTCAACAATCAAGCTCGTCAATGAAGGATACAAATGCCCTGCTCCTAAGCGCTATAGTACGTATGTCTAACACTTACCTGCATCAGGTGTTTACATCAAATTAACAAATGTATACTTGTGTTCAATTTGGTGTTCGAGCATAACTAATGATTTCGATGTTTATGTGTAGATTATACTGATAGTTAACTCTTTTGCAGAAACTTACATGCATGTTTGCTGCAAGAGGGATCCTAAATTCAAGCCCAAGAAGGTGATCACCAAGTTCATGCCTCGTCGTTATGGAGACCTCTCCATAACTTACGATGTTCTATCAGCATTCGCGAATAGGTACCAAGCTCAAGTCACAATTGACAATCTTAATCCTTTGGGTCGTCTTGATCATTGGAACTTAACGTGGGAGTGGATGAGGAACGAGTTCATTAACACCATTAAAGGTGCGCATACTCACAAAATAGATCCTTCTGAGTGTATTTACGGACCACAAGGACAATATTACAAGGATTTCGATTTCACTCCTGTGATAAATTGCCAAAAGAAACCAATCATTTCCGATTTACCCAAGGAGAAAGCAAACGATGACAAAATTGGGAAGTTGCCTTATTGTTGCAGAAACGGAACTCTTTTGTCACCTATCATGAATGAAACAGAAGCAAGGTCCATTTTCCAGATGGAAGTTTTCAAACTTCCCCCTGATTTAAACAGAACCGCGTTAAATCCACCTCAAAACTGGAAAATCGTGGGAACAATTAACCCGTCTTATACATGTGGACCGCCAGTCAGAATTGATCCATCAGCATTCCCGGATCCTAAAGGAATCGGAATTGCTACTGCTGTTGCTAGCTGGCAAATTACTTGTAACATTACTCGTCCTAAGCCCAAAGCAGCCAAATGTTGTGTTTCTTTCTCAGCTTATTATGCTGAATCTGTTATCCCCTGCAACACTTGTGCTTGTGGCTGTGAACAGACGTCTAAATGTGACGCGAACAAAAAGCCACTACTTCTCCCTCCAGAAGCGCTACTCGTCCCTTTTGAAAATAGGGACCTAATGGCGAAAGCTTGGAGCAATATCAAACATCTTGGTCCTATGCCTAAGAAACTACCTTGTCCTGATAATTGTGGAGTGAGCATCAATTGGCATGTTGATAGTAACTACAAGACAGGATGGACTGCGCGTATAACGCTCTTCAACTGGGGAAACAACGCGTTTGAAAACTGGTTTTCCGCGATCCAAATGAAGAAAGATGTAGCTAATGGCTATGAAAACGTGTACTCATTTAACGGTACAAAGTTACCTAAAGAAAAGAGCAACACTATATTTATGCAAGGTTTACCTGGTTTGAAATTCTTGGTTGGAGAGGTTAATGGGACTAATCCTAATAAGGATCCAAGAGTACCTGGAAAACAACAATCAATTATTTCATTTTTGAAGAAGAATACACCACATATTAACGTCGATGGTGGCGATGGATTCCCTTCTAAGGTGTTCTTCAATGGGGAAGAATGCGCGCTTCCACCAGAGTTTCCTAAAAACACTGCAGCATTCAAAACCAAATTTGGTGTTTTACCAGCAGTTTTGCTTGCCCTCTTAACTTTCCTTCTTTTGACAGATTGGTTACACTGATCATCACTCAACATGACGGTATATATAACTTAAATTATTGCTTTAATATACTTTGTGGTGCGCTAGCTTATACTACTCTCCTTCTGTCCCATTTTACGTGGTACATTTTTAAAATGGTCACATTTCTATTTATATATATTATTACAAGGTACCATTACATTGAGATTTGAAGTTGAAGAGTAATGTAATCAAGTTGTGACAGCAAAATGAAGAAAGAAAGAAAAAAATGTTGTATGATCATAGCTTTGTTTATATCTCTTTAAATTTATATTCAAATGAAAAGTCCATCTTTTTTCATGTTTATTAATTAACTTTGGGTGATGAGATATAGCTGGTTAATTTGTGTTGACTCAATTTTTTTTTTAAAAAAAGGAAAGTTCAAAAGGTGGATGATATGCTTTAGAGTTTGATTATACTAACTATCATTACTCTAAAACGCGGAATTAGCTATGAAATTTGTCAGTAATTCCCAGCTAATTAGTAGTTAAATAACTCTTAATTAGCTAATTGAATTTTCTTATAATTTATTGCTAATACGTAGCTAAATAGAATTAGCATGAGATTTTTTATATTTATCTATGAAATTTTTATCCATCACTAATTCCAGTATTAATAATAAACAATAGTACATAGTATTTAGTAATATATAGCCTATTAAACAATAATACAGTATATAGTATACTCCATATATAGCCCAAGTAAAAAATTTCAACTTGTTTTAAGTCGAGTCACAATTTATATTATTTTAGAACATTAATTTTACAAAAATAAAAATAAAATCAATTTGCAAAAGCATTGCTAAACAAAAGCGGAATAAATATTTCTACGTATTTATTGAATTTGTATAAGTACAGGTGCGAACTGGCCTTTGTTAGGGAGAGATTACCCTCCAATATGAAACTTTTAAGCGCGAATCCAAATTTACATTATGAATTTCTAAACTTATCATTAAACATATAGCTCGTTATAGTTATTACACGTTTGTAATTAAATATTTATACATATTCACTAATATAAATATAAATTATTATTAAATTTATCTGAACGCGTACCTGATACTGTAACCCCACCCTTATTGATTGCGAATCCGAACAAAGAGCTTTTTCGGCATCATTTGCATGTTAAAGTTGACACACGGAAGGTTACAACCAGCCACGTTTAATTACTTTTTCTTTTGATGATTAACATTAATTAATTTTTTTCATCTACCTAATTAGCCTTTCACTCAACACGTACTTAACATGCAAACCATCCAATCAGCTATAAATACACCCTTAAAATCCACTAATTTCACCATCACAAGCATTTGCAAATTGCAATTAATTACCAAAAATAATTAGTCATGGGGAAGATTTCACTTGTTGTTGTTCTTCTATTGTGCTTGTTAGCATTTGCAAATGCTAACGCGTTCTCCGTCATGGTGGCCGTGACGGAGGACAATATTGACAATCCACAAAGTTGTCAAGAGCAGATTCAGAGTCAGAAACTTAACCACTGCAGGTAAAAACTATTTAACTATACGTAAACGTTGTTTTCAAAAGTTAAAAAGAAAAATAGTTTTTAAAGAAGTTAACGTGCTCTTTTGAAAAATAAGTTTTTAGAAATTTGGTTCATATATCATTGTTGCTCATAAATGTTGTCAAATTGATTAGCTAAATATAAATGGTTTCTTTTGAAAAGTACTTTTTTCCATAAGTACTGCTATTAGTGTTACTAATCGACCAAACAAGCTACTTCCTTTGTCTCATTATGTGACACATTTTAGATTTTGAGATTCAAACAAGTCTATTTTTTACTATAAATTTTCATATATCTATTAAATATTTTGAATTATCAATTATTATGACTTATAGTACTTTTTACGTAATTTACAAATATATAAATTTCATTTTAGAATTTATACCACGTTTTACAAAATAGACCAATGACACATAATAACGCCTTCACACAAACATAAAACTTAGTTATAATATCGACTCAAATTTTCTTAAAAGTCCATTCATAACAATAAGTCAAATTTCCACACGTTAATATAAAATTCTACGTACGTTACTGATTTCAGGATGTACATTTCAAGAAGCCACCAACACTTTAACGACGAGTTGAGCATGGTAACAGATGACGATCATGAGATCAACCAAGCACAAGAACATCTCCAACAATGTTGCCAAGAATTGAGGAACATGGACACTCAATGCCGATGCCCAGCGCTTAAGAAAATGGTGATGCAGGATTGCGGTAGACAAGGCGAAGAGGCGCAACGCATGTTAGGGAAAGCTCGTTATATTCCGCGTATGTGTAACATTCAGCCTACTCAATGTAGCTTCTAATTGATATAGAAGCTCGATCAGTATAAAAATTACGTTGAAAGTACTATAATAATGAACACACCATCGTGTGTATGTATGGTAAGTAAGCCAGAGTTAATTTGGTTTTATCTTATGGGTAATGAAAGAGACTTGAGACTTGTTTTATATGCTTGTTAATTAATTTTAGTCTTAATGCTCATGTGCATTTTAACTAATTGTGAATTTGCCGCTAAAGATAGATTTTGAACCTAACTCAACTTAAAAAGTAGCTTATGAGGGGAGGATTGTTCAAGTTTATATAAGAAGATCAAATTATCATCCCTTTTCTGATGTGGGAATTCTTAACATTTCATCGTACAATCGGACCTCGTTAACTAAAGTGTGAACACTATAATTTCTTAACACTCCTTCGTGCACCCAGACCTCATTAACTCAAGCGTGAACACTATATTTTCTTAACACTCTGCCGCACATTCAGACCTCGTTAACTGAAACGTGAACACTATAATATAGAGGCCCTACGTCGGTAAATCGTTAAATCCTTGTTAATTGGAGCTTGAACACTATAATTTCTTAACACTCTTACACACGCTCATACCTCGTTAAATGAAGCGTGAACATTATAATATGGAGGCCCAACATCGAAAAATAGTTAACTCCTCCTTAACTGGAGCGTAGACACCATAATATGGGGCCCAACATCGATAAATCGTTAATGGGAGTGTGGACACAATAATATGGGAATCCAATATCAGTAAACAAATAATTGTGAAAGGTCTAACTCTAATACCATGTAAAGATGGATCTTGAGTCTGTTTTAACCCCAAAAGGCCAAAACCTAACTTATGAAGGAAGGACCATACAAATCCATATAAGGAAATCAAATTCCCATCTATTTTCGGACGCAGAAATTCTTAGCACAAACAAAGAACTTTTTCGGCAGCATTTGCATGTTAAAATTGACACACGGAAGGTAAAAACCACCCACGTTTAATTACTTTTTCTTGTGATGATAACTTTTATTTTTTCATCTACATAATTTGCAGTGATGCAACACGTATTTAACATGCAAACCATTCAATCAGCTATAAATAGACCTTTAAAATCGACTACTTCACCATCACAAGCACTTGCAAAAAAATAAATAATTTAAACACATCTGATTAATTATATTGTTGTCATGGGGAAGATTTCACTTGTTGCTGCTCTTCTGTTATGTTTGTTTGGCATTTGCAAATGCCAACAAGTTCTCCGTCACGGTTGCCGTGACGGAGGAGGATGATATCGAAAATCCACAAAGTTGCCAAGAGCAGATCCAGACGCACAGGCTCAACCACTGCAGGTTTTAAAAAAATTGTCAAATTAATAATATAGAGTATATATTACACACTATATAATCAGTCTGAGTACACTAATTGAAAAATAATACAATGTAACTAAAAATTTGAGACAGAAAATAACGTCTTAAAATAATCCCCGTCCCCTCTACGACATGTGGTCAAAAAATTATTGTGTTCCACATTATTACTACTCCATATATTTAGAAAGTCAAAGGTTTCTCTTTAAATCTGTTTTTTCATATATCTTCTAAATATTTTAAATCCTCAATTATTGTACCTTCTACTACTAAATTTGTTTTATGCAGTTTCTATATTCTAATAGGAAAAAGGATAAATATACTCCTGAACTATCGTAAATGGTATGCAGATACCCTCCGTCATACTTTTGGGACATTGGTGCCCCTGTCGTCCAAAAACTAGAGCGTATATGCATTTGACTGGATCAAAGAAGCTAAATAAGGTTCAATTATCAGATCAAAGAGAAGCTATAATGTACACAATTTCATATCAAGAAGATAGTATGACAACCCACCTTCACAATAATTGATATCTTTGTCAAACCAAGCATAAACAGACAGAATATCCCAAAGCTTGGATAGATTCTCCTGTTTCTCATAAAAGACAAGTGTCCTGTCGGTCCGAACAACATCGAGTCCTGGCATAAACACATAAACCAGACTGAATGGTTACTAGTAAACAACCTGAAGAGGAGTACTAACAAGTGATTTTGAAGAGAATGGGATAAACATGTGGTGCATCCAAAGTTAAATTACTACTCCCTCCACCCCAATGTACCCCAATTTATGTGAAGGTGTTTGACTAATGACTAGGCATGGAGTTTAAGAGAAAAGGGTAGACTTTTGAAACTTGTCATTTGAAATAAGTCATAGAAACTTTGTGGCTATAAATCATTTCATTAAGGGTGAAATAGGAAGATTGAAATGGTTGTTACTAAAATGGAAATATGCCATTCTTTTCGGAAATGACTAAAAAGGAAAGAGTGTCACATAAATCAGGATGGAGGCAGTGTTAGTTTTAATAAGTTATGTTAGGAATAAAATATCTACCGTTATGTTTGTCCTAGTCTTTAGGAAGAAGTTTAAATGTGGGTTGTTGTCAAGTTTTTAGGATAAAATCTTGGTGTAGTAGTTCCTAATTTTTAGCTTCAGTTTTTCTGCAATGTATTTGTTTTATAAAAGGACTGTTGCAGGCAGCGTAACAAAATAGTCAGAAAATTTCTTCTTCACATACTGCCTCTGCTCTACTCCATCTATTCTCTGTTCTTTTTTTTCTACCAGTGGTATCATCGCCAGACTAGATTATAAAAAAAGAAAAAGAAGAAAAATAGAGAAATAAACCATAAGTTATGGCTTCAGAGAGCAATTACATGCAAGCAACTATTCCACGTTTTGATGATCACTATGACCATTGGAGCATGTTGATGGAAAAAATTTTAAGGTCAAAGGAATATTGGCCAGTTGTGGAGGTTGGTACCAGCGCTCCGGCGGAAGGCAAAACCTTAACGAATGCTCAAACGACTGAGTTTGAAGCGAGCAAGCTAAAAGATTTGAAAGCAAAAAATTACCTTTTTCAGTCTATTGAATGTCCTATCTGAGAAACTATTCTTTGCAAAGAAACTTCTAAAGATATATGGGACTCCATGAAAAAGAAACATCAAGGCACTGCTAGAGTAAAGCGCGCACAACTTCAAGCCTTAAGAAGGGATTTCGAGACCTTGCAGATGAAGGAAAGAGAGTCCATAATAAGTTACTGCGCTAGAACAATGGAAATTGACAACAAAATGCAATTCCATAGTGAGAAGATGAACAATATCACAATTGTTGAGAAGATATTACGCTTTTTGATGCCGAAGTATGATTATGTTGTTTGCTCCATTGATGAGTCAAAAGATATAGATGAGTTATCGCTTGACGAATTGCAAAGCCCCTTATTGGTGCACGAGCATAAGATGAATCAACATTCAACTTCTGATGAGCAAGTCTTGAATGCGTCTACTTTTATTTCTTCCAATTGTAGAGGAATGGGTAGAGGTAGAGGGAGAGGAGATCGAGGAAATAGAGATGGAGGCAGCAAGTATGGTAACATAAATTTTAGAGCCAATGATGACTACGACAAAAGTAGAGGGAGAGCTTTTGCTAAATCCAAGATAGAATGTTATCGCTACCATAAATTTGGTCATTATCGTTCTAAATGTCATACAAGGCTACCTAACGAGAAGGAAGAAAAGTTAAATTTTGCTGAGAATAAAGAAGGAGAAACATTGTTAATGGCAGTACATGTTGAAAACGAGCCTGAGGAGCAACACTCTCTCTTCATTAACGTTTTTTTTAAGTTGTTTGTTTCTCTTAGTTTGTAAAGCTCTCGATTTGCCGGAGGTTCGCCGGAAGTAAATAAAGTTGTTGATATTTCTCATCGGCCATGTTGGCCATTATTACAAGGTAATTTAATTCTCTTCTTTTATTTTTAAATCTTTTTATATCTCCGATCTGGAAGCTGTGACTATGTCCGGCTAAAAATTTATATCTATGCCGGATAACTAATTTCTCTTTTATATAGGCCATGAACGGATCTACATTTTATTTAAATATAGAAGAATTTTAGTATGGCTTCTCGACTTGGTTCTGAGATTGAGGTACAGTCGGATCTAGTACTACTTTTATTGGCTTTGTCTTTGTGACTCCGTTTGATGAGCCGTGGTTTTTAGCCCGAAATTGAGTTTGATAAGTAGGGCGCCTCATACCCGGTTAGAACTATCAGACACATGGGCTCAATAAAAGTATGTATTAGCTTCTTGACAGACCCTTTGCTTGGGTAAAAGAATTAAACCATGTAGTCTGAGAAACTATGTTAAAATTCTTGTGTATTTCGATTCTTATGTAGTTGGACTACCTCTAAGGATATTGACTTGCTTGATTTATGACTGGGCGGACCACCGCCAAGTTGAATTATTTTCTAAGTAATATAACATCTAAAAAAACATACTATTGATAAGTATACTATTTTCATCCCGAATAAATAATATTTTTTTTTAAAATTGTCACTTTAAATATTTAATTTAAAATTATAATTATTTTTCACTATGAAGAGTACACAAAATCTACATGATAGTTCAAACAATCTACTTTTATGTTATAGTGATAAATTATTAAACTACACTTTTTAATGAACATGAAAATACTTTTTACAATAATTCAAAGTGAAACAGGGGAAGTAAACTAGTACACGAAATAATTGGATACAAGATGAAATTGTTAATTTAAACAATTTTTAGCTACACATAAAAAAATATGGACAAAACATTACTCATTTTGAACTCCGTAATGCATTAATAAAGCATTATGGGAGCAACGTAATAGTCTTGAAAGTCGAGTATTAATCTAAAATTTAAAACTAAATTTTATGATAATGCATTATTTATTATGTAATTGTATTTCATCAATGATTCCACCTTTATTTGAATTGTTGTTAGTATGTATTATTCATAATATTTGTTGTAATTTATTTTATTTAGAAATTTAGAATAAAATATAATTTTATATTTAATGAAAGTTTTGAAAAGAATAAAATTTATATTACACGAAGATTATATAGATTATGGGGTGATTATTTGCAAAAAAGAAAGAATGATTTCTATTATGAAATTAGAAAATAAAAATGAAATAGAAATAATAATATAATATTGAGGTGAGAGAAAATGATTCTTTTTTAGAGAGTAATTGGGTTGGAGTTAGTTGTCTGAAAAATAGAAAACTCTATATTTGGAGGGTAAAATAGAGGATAGGATTGGAGATGCCCTAAAAGCTCTAATCAAGAACGAAAGAGTATTTATGGTTGAAAAGATGTGTTGCATGTCCCACTAGAAAGACAAATTGGACAATTTTTTTGATTATTTAACGTATTTGTGGAAATTTTTTTGTGTCATTTTTATTCTTTTGTGCAATAATTATCAATCAACTCCTTAGTATTAGTGAAGTTGTTAGTGCATGAAAATATGCACCGCCATTCACGGAACATGCATGAATAATATATGCCGCACCGCGCGATTATGTCTTTGTCTTAAACTATATAATATGTCATGAAGTCAAATAAAAAAAATGGATAAAAGTCAATATAATTTCATCAGGAGTGTAGTAGTGGCCTAAAGAGAGACATTTCAGCTCTTATTAATGGGAAAATTTTTAAAACAACAATATTTTAGCTTTTAGTGGGACTCCTTAGCAACAGTTTCATTATTTATTAAAAATGTTATTATTTTAGTTTGTTAAGGGATTAGTTATGTATTTATTTTATTTTGATTAATTTGAAAGAATACATATAATTAATAACATAAGAGAGAAAATCATGGGACAAAAAAATTCAAAAAGGCAAAAAAGATTTTAAATACAAATCAGTTACGTTTTGAAAAGAGTATAAATAGCCATCTTTCCGTCGAGCGTTTTTTTGCTTTCTCTTAAGAACATAAAAAAAAATTAAAATAATTTAGTTTGTCTTTCGAATCATTCATCTAATAACTTTCAAAACTTCTTCAAGTTGAATATGACATATTTTTGAAACAAAATTTTTCAAAATTGACAACTATAAATTTGTCGCATCTAGTGAACAATCGAAAAACAATCAGGTATTTTGTTCGATTTTTTTATTTATTTGGATGAAATATTCGTATATGTCGAGTACAAGAGTGTTATTTTTTTTTCTTGATTGAATCTGTGAAATCTTTGTATGCATTGGGATTTATAGCTTTTTTCGGATGTTTTGTATCCAAATTATGATGTATAACGAATGAAATTGGTTTTTTTTTAGTTTAGTAGCTGTTTTTTCTATTTGAATGCATACAATAATTTGTATCCCATTAAGTTAATGTAACTAATCGATCATGAACTATATGTTGAATACAACAATATATGAATACAAAAGTGAGATGAAAATACAAAGTTATAAATACAAAGTGAGATTGAATATAAAGTTGTGAATACAAATTAAATACTCTCTTCATATGAAATACAAAGTGACTTTGAAAGGTAAAGTAGGCACATAAAATACAAAACTTGTTGGTATACAATTAGGTTGAATACAAAACAAAAGAGAAATACAAACTTGCTCACATATAAATCGAGATTGAAATACAGAATGAATACCCAATAAAATACAAAATTGTTAGCATACAGTTAGGATGAGTACAGATTAAGAAAGAAATGCAAACATGTTGGTATACTAATTGAGATTGAAATACAATGCAACCTTTGGGTAATACACAAATCAAATGAGGGAAATTCCCCAAAATTTTGAATATTATTTGGTATACCTCTAGTAATTCTGATTGAATCAATCATTGTAGACAATCAGATACTTTCCCCAAAATCTAAAACCCTAAAAGCAAATTTCGATATTATCAAATTTTAAAATGTATTAAATATCAAACAAAATAAACATATATATGAATTTTCTAGAATCTAACAAAATCTAGAAAAATTAAAAGAAAATCAACAAAAAAAATTGAACATAATAAATATATGATGAATATTTAAACAAAATCACATAAAAATTGAAAAATTTGACTGAAAATCCGTAATGTATAGAATCAGTGATTTAAAAATCAAATAAAAAAAATCAAAATTGATAATGGAAAATACCTTGCCAACCGAGTAATCTGCTTGAATTAATAAAGAGATTTCGTTTAACAATAAAGAAAATTTCTTGATGAACAACAATTTAACACCTTGAAGAAAGATAAACTTGAAACATGAAAGGTGTGAAAGAAACGTGAAAGTTGGGGAAGAAACGTGAATGGTGGTGAAAAAAGGTTAATGGTATTGGTTTAATTTATTTTTTTCACTTTAAACGATTATTGGTATATAATTTGGTCTAATATAGGACTCTTTCCATAAATAAAATTAATTTAAAATACTAAAATCTGAATACATATTATTTTATAAAAATATTGTCATTCTGCCGTTTTAAATAAATATTTTAAAGTGTTGTTATTTTGACTAATTATGTTAGATATTATGACTTAATTGCTAATTTTCCCCTTATTAATTAGTAGTCCTAAAATGGGCTATATATGGCATTTTCGCCTAAATTTCTTCGTAGCCCAATAGAATGGATTCCGATTTACTAAAAGCCCAGAATTCAAAAGCCCACAATATTTTCTCAAACTAATGACGTGTCACAAAGGTTATAGCAGTACAACTTGAACTGGGACCGACCATTTTTTAACTAGAACCCTAAAATAGAATTTAACTAGAACCCTAAAATCGAATCGAAGCACCTCAGCAATGGAGATGCAAAAGGAATTCGATCGTCTCCTCTTTTTCGAACGCGCTCGGATGAGTGCTGAAACCTCCTATGCTGAGAATCCCCTTGATGCTGATGTCCGTATCTCCTCTTTCTCTTCATTTATCGTTTCTGTTTTATCGTTCTAATTGGATTTCAGATCTTTGATGTGTTTTTGCGTTTAATTTGATCTTCGATGCTTTGTTGAATAAACGAGTTTGTTGTTTTTGTTATGTGATGATGCATGCAGAACTTGACGAGGTGGGCACGTGCATTGCTGGATCTATCACAGTACCAGCAGGGAGCCGAATCGAAACAAATGATTTCTGGTATTGAGTTGCTTGAATTTCGGGACTTGATTAAATAGTTTGTTATAAATTAGATTTTTTTAGGATCGGTTAGTTAAATTTCTAATTTAACCTATAGTGTGCCAAAAAAATGTTCTTTCTTTTGTTTGCTGTTCTTGTTCTTTGAGTTTTTGAAATTCTAAGAGGCTGATGAAGTGTGTATTTGTTGTCGTTTATTTGGGGAATTAACTTGGCAGATGCAACCTCAAAGTTGGAGGAGGCATTGACTTTGAACCCTAAAAAGAAGCATGATGTGCTTTGGTGTTTGGGAAATGCCCATACTTCACATGGTTTTTTAATTCCTGATAATGATGAAGCTGCTTTTTACTTTGAAAAAGCAGCTGAGTTCTTTCAGCAGGCACTTGATGCGGTATATCTTTCTCAACAGACATTCCAAATGTATGTGTGCTTTACTGTTGCAAGTAGCTTAGTTTTTTGTTACTCTGAATGCAGGATCCCTCTAATGACCTTTACCGCAAATCTTTGGAACTTACTGCTAAGGTGAAACTTTTGTTGTTCTTTTAGCTAAGTCTCGATATGTTTAATGCTTTGCATCTTTATGTTGTAATTACGTATTCCAAATGAATGATATCAAACTGCTACACGTGGTTGTGTGCCATTGCCTTTTCCTCGCTTATTCCCAATTTTTGCACTCAATTCTTTTTTTTTAAAGTTCATTCCTGCGTGGTCCTTTGTAATTGGTGTATATCGATATTGTAGTAATTTTTTGTGTATCTTTTCTTGCCCCTTACTTCCTCCTATCCATATTATAGTATTTTTAGCTTTTACATTTAGTCCAAAATAGATAGTTTTTAACATAATCAAGAAGTTATTAATAGTTCTTTTCCAAATTTACACTTAAATAAGTGAATTTTTACCTAACCAAGAAATCGTATTAAAGTAAAATTATTTAATCAAGGTGCAATCACTTCTTATCTCTATGAGTAAGTGATTTCTTAAAGGGGTGTGTCCAGGCTTAAAATACCATAAATATAGAGCGGAGGGAGTATTAGATTACCAACAACAACATAATATTCAGTGGAAAGGGTAGATTGCACGTAGGCGTTACCCCTATCTTCGGAAGTACAAAGGTGGTTTTTGATAAGACCCTTGACTCATGGAAAAGCAATTTAAAGTAGATTGAAAAAAAATGACAAAGTGGACAAGCCATGGAAAAATACTGTAGAGAGCATGACAAAACACTCTGAAAAGGTGTAGTAACTACAACAAAATACTATGATAATTGAAGTACAAGAAACATGTAGTAGCAGAAATAGAAAGACAAGAAACTACAAGAGTAATACTATAATTAACTAGTATGTAAGGAAAAACAAGATGACACCCAACTATTTATTAACTTTCTACCCTAATTCTTGACCTTCATAACCTCCTATCTAAGGCTGTTTTCTCGGTAATTGTAACCTCTTCATGCTCTATCTAATCACCTCTCCCTTATACTTCTTCGGACTATTTGTTCCTCCCTTGAATCCATCCATAGTCAACCTCTCACACCTCTTCGCTGGGGAATATGTTCCTTTTCTCTTCACATGTACAAACCATCTCAGTTTTGCTTCTCGCATCTTATCCTCCACCGGGGCTATTTCCACCTTGTCCCAAATATCTTCACTTCTAATACTATCTCTCCGAGTATGCCCACACATCTATCTCAACATCCTCATTACCGCAACTTTTATCTTATGATTGTGGGAGTTCTTGGCTAGCTATCATTCTGCCAATACAACATAGTTGGTCTAAACACCACTATGTATAACTTGCCTTTAAGTTTCAGTGGCACCTTCTTAACACACAAGACTTCGGAGGCAAGCCTCCACATCCACCCTGCACCTAAACGCAGTGTTTTGGACGGCGAGAGGCGACAAAAGGCGACAAGGGCCTGCCTCGCCACGCGGCGAGGCGAGCGGCGAGGCGATCGCCTTTTTGAATCAAGGCGCCAATTAATACCAAAAATTAAAAATATTTAATTGCATATATAAATATCCAAAATCTCAATAGCAATAACATATATTAGCAAATATTTCAATTCAAAAACAAAAAGTAGATACTAAAAGTCTAGAACTTTAAAGACCCAATAATTCAAAAGATAATACTAGAACTCTAAAAGTCTATTCTTCTTCAAAACTATCCAATTCTTGAAGATCAACATCCTCTACATCATTATATTGCTCCTCATCTTCTTCCTCCTCGTAGTCTTCATCAATTAGTGTCCGAGTCCTACTTGAAGTTGAACTTGTAGATGAAGTTTCTACTCCTTTGCCCTTGTCAAGTGCTCTTGATCTTGAAGAAAGTCCCCTAAGATGATAGATACTCTCATCAGCTCCAATTGCCGTAGCAACACTACCCCAAGTAAGATCATCATCCTCATATACTAGTTCATCTTCTTGATCTTCGGGGCATCCAACTAACCATTCATTTGAATCATCAATGTTATCCAAGCGAATTGGATCAATGAGATCACGAGCATCATAACGACGTTTCAATGTTCTATTGTACTTAATGTACACTAGATCATTGAGACGCGATAGTGCAAGCCTATTCCTCTTCTTGGAATGAATCTACACATAAGTTACAAATATTAACTAATAGATATTGATAATAATATAATATGGAAATTAGGATATAATTTTTTTACTTACGTGTTCAAACACACTCCAATTTCGCTCACATCCGGATGAGCTACAAGTTAGGCTTAATACTTTCATGGCAAACTTTTGCAAGTTTGGTGTTTCACTATCAATTAGTGACCACCATTCAACTATAATAAAATAAATTTAAAGGTTAATGAGTATAAATAAGTCAAATAATTTAAGTAAGAGCTAAATCAACTCACTTACCCGGTGACCTTGTGTCTCTAGCTCTTTTAGCCGGACCACAACCAAATAGTCCA